ATACTGTTTGCTTATCGTTGAAAATTATCTAGGGCCGCCTCTGGTCCCATGTTCAGACTTTGGCAACCTCTTAGGAAAGCTCTTTTTCAAATACCCCAAAGCTGAATAGGCCAAGTGTGAGGCTAGTTGACGGCAAAAGCCTATTTGAATATTACTGTATTTCTTCAATTCTAAGACACCCTCCCCTCTCCCATATAAACATCAGTTAATATGGAGTGCATTTTAATGTACCTTATGTATTTTTATACTGAAATTAGAGTATTTTTTACAATTGATGGCGCCTTAGATAAAGGTTTTCCCCTGAATTAAGTCCAGTCTTGTCTGACTCTGGGAGTTGGTGCCCATCTCCATTTCTAAGCCAAAGTGTGAGTGTTGTCCTTAGATACCTCCAAGGTCATGTGGCCAACATGACTGCATGGAGCGCCATTACCTCCCCACCCCGCCGAAGCAGTACCTATTGATCTACTCACATTTGCATGTTTTCGAACTGCTAAGTTGACAGACTGGGGCTGACAGTGGAAGCTCACGTCGCTTCCCGAATTCGAACCTGCAACCTTTCAGTCAACAAGTTTAGCAGCTCAGTGGTTTAATGATAATAATAATAATAGTAACAACAACAACAACAACAATAATAATAATAAACAACTTTATTTATACTCCACCACCATCTCCCCAAAGGGGACTCGGGGTGGCTAACATGAGGCCAAGCCCAAAATAATACAGCAGAGTTAGACATAAAACAACAGAAATATTGCATCACAACAAAATACATAAAGTAACAAAATAAAATAACCCACTGTGCCACCAGAGGCTCCTTACAATTGAAGAAATATGCTAGGTAATGTTCTAGAACATTTCAGTGACCCGTCTTACTGTACAACCTAGCATAGTAAAGGGGTTTTAAGATACCAACTCTTCTGGGGGATGCTGTTTAATTTTTGTTTTAAATGTCTTTTATTACCATTTTATCCACTCTACAATTACCTATGCCCTGTGCAGCTGATGTAAATCAACAGGCTCTTCAGCCCTGTAGAATTAATGGGAAATCATCTTGTTATAGGAGCCATGGTGGCTCAATGGGTTTAATCCTTGTGTCGGCAGGACTGCTGACTGAGAGGTCAGCGGTTCAAATCTGGGGAGAAAAGGTTGAGCTCCCCCTGTCAGATCCAGCTCCCCATGCAGGGCCATGAGAGAAGCCTCCCACATTATGGTAAAACATCAAAAACATCTGGGCCTCCCCTGGGCAACATCCTTGCAGACGGCCAATTCTCTTGCAGTTTCTCAAGTCGCTCCTGACATGGAAAAAAAAAACTCCCTTTACCCACTCCTCTCTCTTTCCCATCATTTTGTCCAAGACATTTTTGCAGTTAAGCTCAATGCTGCTAGAACACTGCACAACTCTGGTGGATACATAAGTCAAGCCACAAGAAGTTTCCCTGAGTCACACAATTCCCTCATCTCCCTGTTTTGACAATTCTAACTGGCAGCAACTCCCCAGACAAGATCCTTGCCTAGTTCACCCTTGAGATGTTTGAAACTGAACCAAAGACTTTCTGCTTGGAAAAAAAAGAGCATGCACTCTGTGACGGAGCCATGTCCTAGCTTAGCTTGGCTCTGCTGCTCACATTAGTGTGAATGTAACACTACATGGATTGTCTCTGGCATTTCATTGCTTCCCACCCCAATTCCCTTTTATATTTATGACACAAAGTGTTCAGGGTGGCCCCCACTTTACAACAGGTGGGGGCAGGGAGCAAAGTGACTGGGGAAGTGTTGCTAATAAAGCAGAACAAATGCCTGACCAAGTAGTGGAGTCGTCAGCAAGGCTTTTGTTTTCATCTGTTGATTTTTCTGGAGTCCGGAGAGGCAGGAAAAGAAAGGATAGCAGCCTTAGGGTAGTTGTCCATAGAGACAAACAGGAATTGCATCCGGAAGACCAGCAGCACCTGTTAGCAGTGGCCAAAGGGGCACTTCTAGCTGGATGGATAGAAGACTACAGGGTACCAACACACAAGGAAGGTGGCATTGTACAGTTGAACATCTCTATCCATGGATTCAACACTTATGGATTCAACCATCCACAGATTGAAAATACTTTTTATAAAATCCAAAAGACAAACCTTGATTTTGCCATTTTAAATAGGTATAAATGTTAACTGTATATGTCTCTATGTTGGCATGTTTTATTTTCTGTGTGTATATATATATATATTTGTGTTATCTGGTACTAGTTAGAAAGTAAGGAGCCCCCAGTGGTGTAATAGATTAAACCCTTGTGCCGGCAGGGCTGCAGACCAACAGGTCAGAGTTTTAAATCTGGAGAGAGTGCGGGTGAGCTCCCTCTGTCAGCTCCAGCTCCCCTTGCAGGGACATGAGAGAAGCCTCCCACAAGGATGGTAAAACATCAAAACATCCGGGCATCCCCTGCGCAACGTCCTTGCAGACAGCCAATTCTCTCACACCAGAAGTGACTTGCAGATTCTCAAGTTGGCTCCTGACATGGAAAAAAAAGTTAGAAAGTACATTAGTAGGGTGTTTTTTTAAAAAAAAAAACATAACTTTCTAATGTGCTTGCTCATTTTATTATTATGTTTTCTTCTTTTTGGTTAATAAAAGTTAATATCATGGAAAACAAATATAAATATACCATTTTACCATGCCTTTGTGTATAATGGGAACTAAGTATCTACACATTTTGGGATCCATGGGGGATCCTGGAAAAAAAACCTAGCAGATATTGAGGGCACATTGTACATCTCACATCCTGCAGGCCATCCAAGCTTCACCTACAAGTTGTGCTTAGAGGGACCCACCACTTGAGCAGGAGAAGCACACCAGCAGTGCTTTGAGTTTTACCTATGTGTACACCTGAAAAAATTCGGGGGTGGTTTGATCCCAAGCGTCCCCTCCTTTCTATCCTTCCTTCGCTGATAGTATGATAGCTGGGTCTGGAAGCTCCGAGGAAGCCCAGAGGAAGGCTATGATAAGCCCCACCCAAGCCCATAGCCAATAATAAACTTTATTTGTTGATAGTATGATAGCTGGGTCCGGAAGTTCTGACTGTTACGGAGATGCTGCAAAGGTGGCTGTGAATAAGGGAAGAGAGGGGGCGGAGTAAGAGTGGGGAGAGTGAAGGAAGTATAGAAAGGAGGGGATGCTTAGGGTAAGAGTTAGGGCAAGGTTTAGGGTATGGTTAGGGGTTACAGTTCGGGTACGGTTCAGGGTTAGGATAAGGTTTAGGGTTTGGGCTAGGGTAAGGGGTTAGGCTTAAGCTTACGGTACAATTCAGGGTTACAGTAAGGGTTAGGGTAAGGTTTAGGGTAAGGGTTAGGGGTTAGGGTTAAGGTAAGGTTTAGGGTTAGGGTTAGGGTAAGGTTTAGGGTAAGGGTTAGGGTAAGGTTTAAAGTTTGGATTAGGGTAAGGGTTAGGGTAAGGTTTAAGGGGTAGGGTTAAGGTAAGGTTTAGGGTTTGGATTAGGGTAAAGGGTTAGGCTTACGGTACAGTCCAGGGTTAGGGTTAGGAGTTAGAGTAAGGGTTAGGGGTTAGGGTTAGGTTTAGGGTTTGGGTTAGTGTAAGGGTTAGGGTAAGGGTTTGGGTAAGGGGTTAGGTTTAGGCTTATGGTACGGTTCAGGATTAGGGTAAGGGTTTCACCATTAAAGAACTCTTACATTCCTTCTATATTATCTGTCTGTGGCCTGGCATACATTAGCTAAAGGTAATAGTATGAAAGCTGGGTCCAGAAGCTCTGAGCCTTACGCCGTTTCCGCTTTGCTCCTTCAGGAGCGTGGTTTGCGCAATGCAGAATGGAACACAGATATTATAGAAGGAATGTAAGAATTCTTTAATGGGAAAACCTAACCCTAACCTGAACCCTAACCCTTAAACCCTAACCCAAACCCTAATCCTAACCCAAACCTTAACCCTAAACCTAACTCTAACCCTTAAGACTAATTCTAACCCTAATCCTACCCCAAACCCTAAACTTTATCCTAACCCTACCCTCTTTTCTATCCTCCCACCAATTTGAAGTATATTCCCGCCCTCTTCAGTGTGCCGCTCTCCCCTTCCCTTATTCACAACCGCTGTTGCGGAATGTGCGGAATGTTCTGAGCTATCTGAGCTCTGGTATGATTGTTTTGTTTTGTTTTTTGTCATGTCAGGAGTGACTTGAGAAACTGCAAGTCGCTCCTGTTGTGAGAGAATTGGCCGTCTGCAAGGACGTTGCCCAGGGGATCCCGGATGCTTTGATGTTTTTATCATCCTTGTGGGAGGCTTCTCTCATGTCCCCACACAGGCCTGTTGCCAGGATTTTGTTTTGGGGGGGAGCTGAGGTTTTGATTCGGGGGGGGGGGGGGCTGATACTGAGTGAAAGAGGGTCTACCCCAATACCTTTTGTATCATTACCCCAATACCCCCATGCATATGGGATATATTGAGTATGGTGATCAGATCATGATATGAATAAACATAACAGTTTATTCACCAGTAAGGCCTTTTCGCGAACCACCATGAGAATTTCGGGGGGGGGGGGCTGAAGCCCCTCAAGCCCCCCCCGCTACATGCCTGTCCCCACATGAGGAGTTGGGAGTTGATAAAGGGAGCCCACCCGCCTCTCCCTGGAGTCGAACCTGCGACCTGTCGGTCTTCAGTCCTGCCGGCACAGGGGTTTAACCCACTGCGCCACGGGGGCTATGATAGCTGGGACCGAAGCTCAGAGCGTTACCCAGCACGCCTTCCTTATCCTGGCCTTCCCTTGCTCCCCTGGGAGGGCAGAGAGGCGTGCTGGCCACCTGCGGCGGCAGGAAGAGCGACGTTCGAGGAGCAGCCCGCCCCTTTCTTTGAGCCCTGGGAAGCCCGAGCCAATGGCAGGGGAGCGCACTCTCGCGCGCCGCCCCTTTGTCCCGCCCCTTTCCCAGGAGGGGCGGGGCCAGTGAAAGCGGGCGAGGAAGAGCTTGAGAGAGGGAGCGCGAGCGCAGGAGGCGGCGGCGGCGCGGCGTGAGTGGAGCAGGGAAGGGCAAGGCTTGGAGGAGGAGGAGGAGGAGCGAGCGCGTGCGTCAGGTCCTGCTGGCAAAGTCGGCAAAGTTCAGGCGAGAGAGGGAGAGAGAGGGAGGCGATCCCGGCGAAGGCGCCTCTCTCTCCAGAGAGGAGAAGAAACTTCTCCGGCATGGAGGCGAGGCTGGAGCGGGCGCGGCGCTGAGCCTCCCCGATGGGCGTCGTTGGCAGGCGTCATGGCCAAATGGCTGAATAAGTACTTCAGCCTGGGCAACAACAAGACCAAGAGCCCCCCGCAGCCCCCCCGGCCGGACTACCGCGACAAGCGCAACGGGACGGCGGTGAGCGGGAGCGGAGGGAACGGCAGCAACGGAGGCGGAGGAGGAGGCGGAGGGCCCCCCAGTTTGAACCACAGCCACAGCCACCGGCACCACACCTCGCCGGCCTTCCCGCGCCACGACACCAGCGACCTGCTCCGCGCCTACCGGGCCCAGAAGGAGCGCGACTTCGAGGACCCTTACAGCGGGCCGGGATCCTCGCTGCGGAAGCTGCGCGCCCTCTGCCGCGCCGAGTACTGCGCCCCCGAGGAGCTGCTCCTGGCCGAGAGCAGCGACGCCACCGCCGCCACCGCCAAGCCCTTCTCGGCTGCCTCCTGCTGCGGAGGGAGCAGCGCCAGCACCGCCGCCGGCTCCGGAGGATCCTCCTCCTCGGTGGCCTCCGCCTCGCCCCAGCTCTTCCGCAGCCAGAGCGAGCGCCGCGCCGCCCCCGGAACAGACCCCGCCACCGCCGCCGCCTCCGCCGTCAAGTACATCTCCCCGAAGCACCGGCTCATCAAGATCGAGCCCAGCAACGAGGGTGGGGGCAAAAGCGGAGGCGGAGGGGGAGTTGGCGGCGTCACCTGGAGCCCCCCCGGGAGCACCGGCTCCGGACACAAGAAGCTCAACAAGTGCGCCGAGCCCGCACCGGACAGCGGCGCCAAGAAGGAGAAAGTAAGTGTGTATGTGAGAGAGAGAGGGCACCACTCAGGGTGCATCTCTCGAATGAGTGCGGCATATTATTGTTGGGTTGCTATAAGTTTTCCGGGCTGTATGGCCATGTTCTAGAAGCATTCTCTCCTGACGTTTCGCCTGCATCTGTGGCAAGCATCCTCAGAGGTTGTGAGGTCGGTATGGCCATGTTTCCGGTGTGCCCTTGGGGACCTGAGAAACTGCAAGTCGCTTCTGGTGTGAGAAAATTGGCCGTCTGCAAGGACGTTGCCCAGGGGACGCCTGGGTGATTTTCATGTTTTATCATCCTTGTAGGAGGCTTCTCTTATGTCCCCGCATGAGGAGCTGGAGCTGATAGAGGGAACTCATCTGCCTCTCCCCGGATTCGAACCTGTGACCTGTCGGTCTTCAGTCCTGCCGGCACAGGGGTTTAACCCACTGCGCCACTGGGGCTCCTTTGGGGACTGAACAACCCATTTCCTGCCAAGCCCAACTTGTCTTTCTGATGCTCTTCACCTTATCTCTCAATTAAAGATTCATTCCTTTGTTATCCCTTCAGAGCCCCCTCACAATTCATAGCACTTTCTACCTATCTCAGTTTTTACCCCCAGTGGCGCAGGGTTAAAATGCTGAGCTTGTTGACCAAAAGGTCGCAGGTTCGAATCCGGAGAGCGGCATGAGCTCCCGTTGTCAGCCCCAGCTTCTGCCAACTTAGTAGTTCAAAAACATGCAAATGTGAGTAGATTAATAGGTACCGCTCCAGCAGGAAGGTAACACCGCTCCATGCAGTCATGCCACCCACATGACCTTGGAAGTGTCTACGGACAGTGCCGGCTCTTCAGTTTAGAAATGGAGATGAGCACCAACCTCCAGAGTCAGACACAACTATTTTATTTATTTATTTATTTCATTTACTTATACCCCGCCCTTCTCACCCCGGGGGGGGGGGGGGGACTCAGGGCGGCTTACAGAGGAGGCATAATTAAATGCCTAACAATTGACAGTAATACAAATACAAAAAGCAGTTCAACAATTAGAATTAAAACATCAGCGCATAATAAAATATTAAGACAATCTCATGCTCGGGTTCAGAGTCCATATATCCATTCCATTCCGTTGTCCTTGTCTAGACTTAATGTCAGGGGGAAACCTTTACCTTAACGAGACTTAATGTCAGGGGGAAACCTTTACCTTTACTAGTTAAATTGAAAAGAGGAGCCCCCAGTGGTGCAATGGGTTAAACCACTGAGCTGCTGAACTTACTGACCAAAAAGTCGCAGGTTCGAATCAGAAGAGTGGCGTGAGCTCCCGCTGTCAGCCCCAGCTTCTGCCAACCTAGCAGTTCGAAAGCATGCAAATATGAGTAGATCAATAGGTACCACTTCTGTAGGAAGGTAATGGCACTCTAGGCAGTCATGCTGGCCACATGACCTTGGAGATGTCTATGGACAACACTGGCTCTTCGGCTTCTCATAGACTTAGCATGGGGATTTGGTTAACCACTTAAAATTTATAAGTAAACCAGTTTTTCGGGGGGGGGGGGGTTGTTCCGCATCCTAGTTTCCAGGGCAGCAGACAACAAGCTTGCTCCCTCCTCCCTATGGCTTCCCCTCACATATGTATACATGGCCCCTATCATGTCCCCCTTCAGCCTTCTATTCTGCAGGCTAGAGATGCCCAGCTCTTTAAGCCCCTCCTCATAGGGCTTATTCTCCAGACCCTTGATCATTTTAGTCGCCCTCCTCTGGACACATTTCAGCTTGTCAATATCTCCCTTCAATTGTGGTGCCCAGAACTGGACACAGTGTGATTCCAGATATGGTCTGATCAAAGCAGAATAGAGCATGGGTAGCATGACTTCCCTGGATGTAGACACTACACTATTTATGCAGGCCAGAATCCTATTGACTTTTATTGTTGGCTCATGTTTAACTTGTTGTCCACAAGGACTCCCAAGATCTTTTTCACACATATTGCCGTCAAGCCAGGCATCCCCCATTCTGTATCTTGGCATTTCATTTTCTAAGTGGAATCTCTTTCATTTGTCCCTATTGAACTTCGTTTTGTTAGTTTTGGCTCATCTCTAATCCGTTAAGATCGTTTTGAATTCTGCTCCTGTTTTCTGGAGTATTGGCTATCCCTCCCAGTTTGGTGTCATCTGCTATTAGGATGCTAAGAGAGAGAGACACTGTTTGAACTGAATGCTTTTGGCCAATTACAACAGCCCCTGACTTGATTTTATGCACCTTGTTCTTTCAAAGCCTGTTTGAATAATCCCACTGAATAACCCCACTACGTCGGGATTATGGCAGTTGGGTGAGGAACCACAGTCCCAAAACCTTGTGAAAGGACCCAACTTCAAGAATTCCTTAGTGTTCAGCCGTGGTGTCTCACCTCATTGATTTTACAGGGAGGTCACAATGTAGTTGAGGGTTCACAGGGAAGGAGAATCCCTCTGTTTTGTTCTGACTAACACATGTTGGGTTCACTCCACCAGGGTGAACAGGTGGGTAAAGCTGTGGTGTCTGGGGGGATTGGGAAGATCCCTTTGTAGCAGACCTTGACCCTAAGGATTGATTTGCATGTGTGGACAGGCAACGCCTTCCTCCCTGGCTTGAGTCCATGGCCTGTGGTTGAACCAGCTCTGGGCGCCTGAGATTTGGTCACTAAGCCCATCCCTAGTTTCAGTTTGTGTGGGAAGTGCCTTACAAACACAAAAGGGACAACATTTGGAACAGCAAAGAGACCAGTGGAGAGTAGATTGGGGACTGCCATGATGCATAGAGAGAGTCTGGGTGTCAACAGCGCCAGTGACTCCTGCATGCAGGGATGTGATTTCTTCAGGAGGCTTGGTCTGGTGGATCTCTTTAAGTTCTCTGGACTTTGTTCCCTTTCATCATCATGCTTCTTCTTTCTAGTTCACATACTGTGAGGGATTGTACCTCTGTATTCTCACCACCACTTTAGGTTGTTCCGAGGCCGGAGCTACAATGTCATACAGCTCAGTTTCAGAATTCAGATTAACTGCATTCAACTCGATTATATGGTAGTGTAGACTCACACAATCCAGTTCAGTGGGCATTTAATCTGCAGTCAGAACTGCATTATATGACCGTGTATATCCAGTCTGAGAAATTGTGACATTTCTAGGGCTGAGTTGGGATTTGATTTGCCTTTCCAAACCAAATCAACCATATTGCACACTGGCTCTACCTGGACACTCCTCTAGAGATGTGTTACAATGGGTCAGGCAGATGAGTGTGCTCTTTGGTATGGATTCTGAAATAAGGAACACTTTTTTGGCTTAGGTGCAGATTATTACAAATAGGTCCACCTCCACCCTGCATTATGCAACTATTGAAAGGCAAAACTGAAGTGTTTTTTTTCTGGGTAGTATGTTGTTGTTGTTGATGGTGGTGGTGGCAGGGAGTCACTTCTCCTGGCTTAGATATTGCCTGCATCCATTTGTCACAGGGCATTGATAGGGCAGTAACAGGGCTTTAACCAATTACCATTTCCTTCCTCTTTGCTGGAGTGGGTGACACTTTCCTCAGGCAGATTTTGCAGCTGAGCTTGGGAACCAGATCCAGGCATTTCTGGCTTGACAAGTCTTTCTTTTGTCAACACCTCCAGCTTTCTGATGGACAAATTATAGGTGTTGCCAGTTTGGTGCTTAAATCTGGGGATTGTGGTGGGTTGGGCCTGCATTCAGAACTTTTCAGCCACACTTGTGCATTGCTGGTCAGTGCTCCATTCTTAAGATGCAACCCGTTTAAGTCACTAAGGGAGTGGAGACCTCTGTCTGGTCAATTTGGCTTTTCTTCGGTGAACTAGAAATGCCTTGCCTGGTGACTCAGTGGCTTAATATCTGGCCAACTGAAAGACATTACAGCTTGCTGCGACTGTTGTCAAGACTGTGTAACAGATAGTGGTTGTGTTTTCAGATCTACAAAAGAGAGAAAATGTTTTAATTCCTCAGATAAAGAACTTGGGTAGCAGGGTTTATTTGAACTGCCATAACCTGAGTCATATGCAAAATACTCCTTGCTGCTTTAGTCAGTACATATGCATTCAAAGGAGTGTGTTGAATATCCAGGAGGTTTAAGGGTAGGTTTGCTATCACATTAGTGTGTATAATTTTTGTGTCAGCCATGTGTTGGAAATGCAGCAGACATGTTTTAATCAGTTTTGGTTTTGTATCCAGCTGGCATGTATAATCATTTGTGACAGTCAATAAAATCAAGGGGAAGAGGCATCTTTTGGAATGGTATTTTTTTGTGGCACCAGCAAAAAAAAATTATGGTTTTAAATTGTATATCGTTGATTGATTCTTATCCTTGTTGTAAACCGCGTTGAGTCGCCTGTTGGGCTGAGAAACTGCGGTATACAAGTAAAGTAAATAAATAAATAAATAAGTTCTTCAAATCCAGCTTTTTCAAGAGAAGGAGTTTCATGGTCTGTGGCCCTGGTGAATGAGCTTTCTCTGGAGATGATCATCACCAAAATAGCAGTGTCACAATCCAAAGAGCAGCTTCAGTCAAGGGCTCAAAACATATTTATTGTTATAGTTTGTTGCTATTCAGTTTTTGAAAACAGACCTTCCGCTTTTTGCATGTGTTATAAACATATTGCATTGAGGATTCTCCATTCATGAAAGGATCTCTCCAGCCCTATTAAACAAGAAGAGACCAGAGTCTGGGTGACGATTTATCATGAGTGCTTTGATTGTGTCTTCTTCCATGGTAGGGAGCTAGACTGGATGGTCCTTGTGGTCTCTTCTAGTTCCATGATTCTATGATTCTAGGAATGATCTTATGATTCCTTTTTGTCACACTCTGAAAAAGTAAAACATTCAGTTAATGGCAACAAAGACTCTTAGTACTCATGTCTGAAAGCATACATAGATATTCAGTGATTTCTGTTTTGATATTTTATGATACATCGGTTGTTTTTAAGATTAAAACTCTGTGTAGGACTTGGTAAATTGATTTTATTTAATTGTT